TATGTGTTTTAGCTATATTTTAATGCAGTTAAGTAAATGGAATAAGGAAAAGGAGCTGGTATCTTGTCACCAGTTCACCGCCAAGTGCTCCATAGACACTTGTTGACTTGATCAACAAGCTGGCTTCATAGTGATATCAGAAACAGTGTGGGGCTGTGTTCTTATGACATGATACTTAGACAAAATGTAGTTAAGACAAAATGCAGTTGTCGTTGCCTACAGGCCACATTTGATCACCTTACTAACAATGGATAGAACTTCCTTCCACAGGTTGACTCCAATAGGACTATGGCAGTGCCATTCAGCGGTCATGAGAGCAGTTCATTCTGGCCCTAATCTAATTGATGATTTAGTCAGAACTGTTTCAACCAAATATAGCTGCATGTAGTACATTAAGGATAATGTCACTGGACTCATATTTAGTACAGGGAATAGGCAGCAGCAGCGACTTCTAGATAAAGCAGAGGTATTTATAGATAATGAATGGTGAAGCAAAGAGAATGTAATTTTTTGCACTCAAGAAACATTGATTTTGACACACCATTCCATTAAAGCAACTTTTCTTCTGGTTTACCAGGTGATTGATGCACAGTGTACTCGGTGTAATCTTTTTGTATGATGGATGTGGGTGTCATAAAGTAATAGCTACTCATTGTACTAGAATTTAATACAAATTTTAAAGGTTCTCTGGATTAGACCTGCTGTGTGCTTCAGACAATGAAATAAATAGCAAGAAATGAAAAACTTCATGTCCTTGTTGCAATGTTAGCTCATCTACCTTACACAGGTAGTACTTCTGATTACTAGTTAAGGGCCAAACTGTCCATGCCAACGTAAAGGAGGAGGAGGATGTATGGGAAGATGTAGTTTAGTATATTGATATTGAATTTTAGCCATAGGCTATTGCACACAATAAAATAAAAACAAATTTTAAATCGATGCTGTTGCAAAAAAAATCTAATTATAAAAATACAAATTAACAACACAACAAACTGCAGCAAAGGAGGTTTAGGTTGGACATTAGAAAAACTTCTGAACTGTGAGGGTGGTTAAACACTGGAATAAATTGCCTAGAGAGGTTGTGGAATCGCCATCACTAGACATATTTAAGAGCAGGTTAGACGGACACTTATCAGGGATTGTCTAGATGGTGCTTAGTCCTGCCACGAGGGCAAGGGACTGGACTTGATGGCCTCTTGAGGTCCCTTCCAGTTCGAATATTTTATGATTCTATGATGAGTTTAGACATCCCTAAAATCAGTTGCACCATGAAAATCACTAACAAGAAATAGAAAACATGATTAAAATATTAGGCATATATTATTTCATTTAGGTCAAAAGTAGTCTCTTATATTTTTGTTTGTTATTTTATGTCTGCTCAGGCAAACACGGTGACAGCTCTTACACAGCAAATATTCTGATTTCTGTGCTGATGTGGTAAAGGGCATCTGGGCCAGTAATGAAGGTAGCCATTTATTTCTCAGGTGGTAACACTACTTACAACACGACAAACAGATGGTAAATCTTCAGCCTGGCCAGACTAGCAAGGCAAGGTAAATCTTCAGCCTGGCCAGACTAGCTTTGCACACACAATTGCTTTGCATTACTAGCATACCTCCCTTCCAGATGCATCGTTTGGAAAGAGAGACCTGTAAGAGGAGTTGAATTGGTGGGGGGCAAGGGAGGGAAAAGGTGATAGAACTCTTCCAGGCTCTGCCCATGTGAGTCACTGTTCACAGTAGACTGCCTAGCTGTACATAACATAATATTCCCATGGGGTTTTTGGCTCCTCTTCCTTAGTGAGACTGGGGGCTCTGCTTGGCTCTGTCATATTAATTTAGATGGACTGAAGAGCTCAAAGAATCAAAGGTATTAACATGACCCTGCTGTTGCAACTGTCAAATATTAAACAGTTTTCGATTGTTTGTCATCTGATGTGGAGACCTCAGCCTGCTTACTACCTCAGTGGCAAAGACATAATTAAAAAACCTTGTAACATTCCATTAAATATACAGGAAAGGGCAAAACAGCTAAAGCTTTTGGAATGCAAAGCAGCAAGCAAGGCTTTCCTGTTAACAGCTTGGTTTTTTGTTCCTTTTCCCTTTAGTTGCAGAGATCCTTTAGAAGGAAACCTCCTAATTAGGAGGAAAATAAGTTTTTGTGCATCCAAAAATACTGCCCACTTGAGTTACCAACACTCAAGTGAATTGTGCTGGTCAACGACCCTTAGGATTGCCAATTTTGGATGGCTGTATTTCTGGGGGCTTCATCGTGTGACATAATCTTCTACTTACATGTTTATCTTTAATTCCTTGAGACTCCAGGATAAAGATGAGAGGTTGGGAACCCTAAGGATCCTTCAGCTTCTTTCTTATATAAGGAATGAAATATTTAATGGTTCTGTCATGTAAATGATGACTGGGCAGCCCACTTACACTTCTTCTGAGATGCATTGGAGCAGGTCACAGTTCTCAGAATCATTGTTCCAGACTTTCTACAAGTTCAGCTGCAACCATAAAAGCTAGAGACTTTCCTAATGATTTTTAAATGAAAATTGAGATTCTGGAGAACAAGGCAGGTCCAGAGAGGTACATGGTATATTGATTCATACTGGCTATAGCCCTGATAATAGAAATGGGGCCAGTACTGTGTATTTCCTTCCCCAGTGCAGTGGGAAAACAGGGAAGGATATGTGGCTGTCTACATTACTCAGAGTGGATTGTAACTCATGAGCTAGACTGTTTAAATGTAATATTTTAATATTAGAGCTTGTTTAAAAATAGTGAAGACTTTTCACAAAATAATTGAATTTCCCCCCACATGTTTTGAAAAGGAATGATTTGTCAGTTATTTGAAATGTAAATATTTTGATTGAATTTTTTGTCACTTAAATTTTTTGGTGCCTTCCCTCCCACTCTCTTTAATTATTTTCCATCTTTTTCTAGTTTGCCACTGCAAAAGGAGGGGAAGAGGGAGAAAGCAGGCAGGGGGGGAAACCTCAAAAGTCAAAGTATTTTTGGTTTTGTGTTACTTTAACAATGGAAAACTTAAAAAGTGTTATATTTGCAGTGTAATTTTTTTAATTTGAAACATTTCAGTTGGCAATTTTTTAATGTAGAGTATGAAAACTGGGGGTAAGTTTGTGTTGTAATAGGCCATTAAGTGTGGCAATCCTAAATCTTTCTAATGTTTACATTGTAATATTTCCAAAATATATGCTACTTGATACAACACTGGTCTTCAGCAAAATGACAGTATTTGTCAACAGATACATCAGTGAAGTTACTGCTCTTTCTAAGCTTAATGTGAAACTTCTCTATCTTGGATAATAATGTGAGGAGCTGAGTATGTTTAGTCCTCATGGATTTCAGTGGGGGTTGTAGAATATTAGTATCTCATAGGATTAAGCCTTTATGTAGGGCTGGGCAAAATATGGCTGGGGGTGGGGGGGGGCTGGATCCGGCCCGCCAACCCACTGGATCCAGCCCTCAGGCCACCCTGCCGGGAACCTCAGCCATACAGCTGCTGCGGTTTAAAGAACAGTCTGTGTGGCTCTCTACTCTGCTGGGAGGGGGAGGCTTCGTGCGATCTCCCAGCCCACACCCCCCCAGCCAATAGAAATTGCCCCCAGCCAACTTCTCGGGTTGCATTGGCTGGAAACAAACAGCCAATAGGACCTGAGAGATTGGCCTGGGAGATGGGGGCTGCACAAGCCTCTTTCCTTTCCCAGAGCTGAGAACCATGTGCAGGGAACAAGCCTGCAATTTAAAATGATGTGGGGATGAAGCAGGCAGGGAGCCTAGCTTGCCTTGGTGGTGTTGCAGGCTTACATAAGTGCCTCCCAGTCAGAGACTGTCCCTGGCACCCCTGCCCCTTCCACATCCCAACTATCTCCCCCACGTCACCATCCCAACTCTCTGCACCTCCCTACCCCAGGTCACAACTCCCACCCAGACCCTCTAACCCCTTCTACAGTCCTCCCCCAGGCCAGAATCCTCTCCTGCACCCAAACAGCCTCCCTGGCTCTACCTCTCCTGCACCCCCACTCCCTTCCTGACCCTCAATCCCCTGACCCAGGTCACAACCCCCTCCTCCACCAAAACTCCCTCTCAGACCTCACACTATCTCCTGCACCCCAGTCCTTACCCCATGTACCCTTCTGCACCCAATCTCCACCCTAGACCCTGCACCTCCTCCACAGAAAAATGTGGTCCTTGACTTTCCAAAATCTTGGAGTGGCCCCCCACCAAAAATTATTGCCCACCCCTGCCCTTATGTCTTGGGCCATGTCTACCCTACAAGGTCTATAGTGGTGTATAGCTAAGGTGCCATAACTATTCCGGCATAACTTTGTAGTGTAGACACAGCCTACAGCAGGGGTGGGAAAATACCAGCCCATGAGTCAGATCTGGTCCACCAGGGTTAGCTTCTGGTGGGCTGCCCCTGCTATTTACCTGTGCCTCTCCAACTCCCATTGCTGAGAAAGGCAATCCATGGCCAAAGGGAGCTGCAATCACTGGTACCTGTGGAGGTGCAAGTAAATACAGCAGCAGTGGCCTGCCAGACACTAACTGTGAACCACCATCATTGTATTGTCCACTTCTGGCCTACAGCAACAAAGGGTGTTCTTCTGGCACTGTCAGAACAATACCTGATTCAACAGAAGCATTCCCAAAGGGAGCTAGCTGGGTTTATGCTATGGGTTTATGCTGGCATAGCTAATGGCACTCACATCCCTGAACTCCATAGCTTAGTTGACCTGAACTTTCAGAGAAGACAACACATTTCTCAAGAAGGGAAGTATTTTGTCACCTTAACATGGACAGGAGTCCTCAGACTCTCTCAAAAGTACATTTGTTTTCTTATGAACATACTAAAAGGAACTTTGCTGTATCTGTGCCAGCATTATGAGGTTTTATGTTGGACTGTATTTTGAACTTCTATTCAAGCTCAAACACATTTCTCTCAGTATTAACCAGGTTCTTGTTTTTCTCTCTTAGGTTGCGGTCTTTGGTAAAGCAGCTAGAGAGAGGAGAGGCTTCAGTTGTAGACCTAAAAAAGAATTTGGAATATGCAGCAACTGTACTTGAATCAGTATACATTGATGAAACTAGGTGAGTTAACTACTCCTGTGTATTGATATTTTGTATTATCCAAACAAAGGTGTAGTTTACATATCAATTGGGAAACTAGAAGTCTAATGGTTTCCGTGACAGGTACAGTTGCTATCATTCTTAGGTGAGAGTCCATGATCTGAACTATCCTTTTAAGGTAGCCATCCACGTGAGGACTGAGGCTAACTAGTTTGGCAAACTTCTGTTTCTACCCATTGACGTGCATAAATAGGTGACTTCTGCCAAATTGATCATGCCAAGCCATTTCACCAGAATTAAATTTACTTCTGCAGAAGCATCTTGGGCAAAATGTCCAAAACTTAAAAAGAAGTGATCATCTGATTGTCATTTGGAAATGTTATAAATCTCAATCAGCTAAAACGTATGACAAAATGGGGATTATGACTATTGAAAAGCTGACAATGAGAAATCACAGGAGAGTAATGGAGCTCTGTGTCAGTGTGCTGATTCTCTTGTTTATCAGCCTCAGAGTGAGCTTCACAATCTGGCATAGGGCTATGCAAGAAAATAAACAATCTGTTATTGATTCTCAAAAATGTGTTCTATTAGGGATTTTTTTAAAGAGTAAATTTTTAACAACTGTTTTAATTAGAGTGTGTCTGAGATGTAATAAACTTGTGTTAAGAGCCCTCCATTTGCCCATTTTCCGCTCCCCTCCAGGCGTTTATTGGACACAGAAGATGAGCTCAGTGATATTCAGTCAGACTCCGTGCCCTCTGAGGTCCGAGATTGGTTGGCCTCCACCTTTACGCGACAGATGGGGATGATGCTTAAAAGGTCTGAAGAAAAGCCACGGTTCAGGAGCATTGTCCATGCTGTGCAAGCTGGGATATTCGTGGAGAGGTAAAGGAAGATTTAATTATTCTGCTTCAGTGGCTGGCACCACAGATTGTCGGTTTTAATATTAGAAGAAGGCAATTTTTATTTTGCTTTTATTGTCAAATAGAGCTGAGCAAGGACTGGAAAACTGGGACTAAATAATTGATCATAAATGGAATCTTCACATAGGCATCCGTTATTAGCATAATACAGATCTAGTACTATAACTAGTATCATTTTGGCTTTTCCCCCTTTTTTAATTTATGCCTTCAGGGGCCAAAGGGAGGAAGAGAATACATGGCTTCAGATACTCCTCTGATAGTAATAAGAGGTCAATTCAGTCCCTCATATAACTCTGTCTCTGTGGTCCAGTAAAACTTATAAATGATGGACAGTTGGCTAGTGTAAACCAAATCAAACCTATATTTCTTCATCCCCAGCTTGAACTACAGGAGTCATTGAGAATATCCAGTCTATAATCAGTTTGAAGATTCAAAACTCAGGAGTCTACCAACCCAGTAAAACTCCCTCAGTTTTCTCCATTGCTGATTCCTGAAGCTTGCACAAATTCACACCTGTTGAGCTAGATGGAACCTAATTTCAAATATTGGAACCTTTGAAAACATTTTGCTGTTTGCTGGATACAGGAAGGCCCAGTGTCCAACTTCTAATGTTGCCCCTGTCTTTAGTGGGGAATTTCCCTTTCCTAACATTCTATTTCTTCAAAACAGAATATGGAGTCACATATATGAAATATGGCACGTCTAATCTGCATTCCTCTTTCGAAAGAGGAATGTAAATGAAGCCGATTGAAAATTCAAATGAAGTACGGATTTACAAATCTTGTGTTCCATATGCATAATCGCGTGAAAGCGCTTTTTCAAAAAAGGGTTTTTCGAAAAAGAAACCACAGTCTAGATAGAGTTCTTTCGGGGGAAAAAAACCCTTTTTCGAAAGAACCCGTACTCCTGAATAATTGAGGTGTACAGGTTCTTTCGAAAAAGGGGTATTTTTTTTGAAAGAACCCTATCTAGACTGTGGTTTCTTTTTTGAAGAACCTTGTTTTGAAAAAGCACTCTCATGCGATTACGCTTGAGATTTGTAAATCCACACTTCATTTGAATTTTTGATCGGCCTCATTTACATTCCTCGTTCGAAAGAGGAATGTAGTTTAGATACAGCTTATATACAGGTTGGACCTCACTGGTCTAGCACCCATAGGACATGACTGGTCCCGAACGAGGGGATTTCCCGGACCAGGGAAGGTCCCTACCCTCCTGGCCTGGCTTGCCACCGGGCGAGGGTTCCAGCCTTCCCCTGCTACTGCCTCCACTCCCTGGGGTTACTTAGATGCTGCTGACTCCACTGCTGCCGGGGTAGAGTGCCACAGCTGGAGCTCCGCAGCCGGGGCCACAGTTCAGCAGCTACCAGTCTCTATGGCTGGGGCTGGAATTGCACAGCTAGGGCTTGGGCAGAGGGCTGGGATTGGAGTTCCATAGCTGCTGCTGGGGCCAGAACTCCCCACTATGTTGCCCGTTCTCCCCTGCCCCCCCCCCCACACACACTGGTTTGCCAGTGTCCCCTAATTCACTCCTGCCCCATTGCCAGACCTCCCTGTTCCTGGGCTCTGTGGGCAAGGAACGTCCATGGTCTATGCTGGACCACAGATGTTGCCAGACCAGAGATTCCCGGTTAAGGGAGGTACAGCCTGTATACTCAGGGCCAAATTCAGACAACGTGTAAGCAGACACATCCCAGTTATATACAGTGATATTGAATGCGCTTATGGTAGGGCAGAACTGGACTGTCAGAATATTAACTGAACTTTTTTGTAGCATTTTACAATATTTTGTTTTTTATAGTATATTTTAATAGGAGTTGTTCACGTCTATCATAGCAAGTTAACAATACTGTTTATCAGAATTTCACTGATGATCTACCAATCTTCACGGTATTAGAGTCCGTTAGACAGCTTTGGTAGCCATTATACCACTGGCCACATAGAAACATGGTGGTTTCTTCCAACATACTTATAGAATGATTTCTATCAATATACTTGCATATTCAGAAATTTGTCATACATGTGTTAAGAATACCAGCACGTGTCTAAAAGATATGCTGGTGCACTAGTCAATGCTTTAGTTCAGAAAACATATCTCACCATTTTGACAAGCTCTACTATGTATCCCAACCACCAAAGTATTTGTTGAAAACCATTTACTCAATGCATTTGGCATTTTTTTCTGTTTTTGAATTATTTTTTACAGATGTAGTCAGTATTTGCAATTGTTCAGTAAGTAGATTTTATGAACATCCTAGAGCCTGTGTGTTGTTCACGAACAGCTCATAACAAATAATCAGTGGATTACTGCATGTTCTACCATCTGTTGTTCAGAATTCAAGGACAGTTATCTAAATCACATGATCAGAGATGGGTAATGGATTAAAACCTATATTTGTGAGGAAAAATTAAAATTTCAAAGTTGTTTTAATTTCAAAGGTCTCAAAACTAGCACTTATTATTTTTCAACTTTTTGTCGTTTTTTTCAATTACTTCTTTAAAACGTTTATTCAAATATTACCAGTTATTGAAATATTTAATTTACCGAAGGCCTGGGAAATCATATATGGTATAATTGTCACTGGTAATAATTGTGTAAATGTATCTCCATTGGCTCTTACATTCTTTGCATGTAGAGAAGGGTAAAGTAATCAATCCCCTATAGTCTTGTTCAGCAAAGCACTGAAGTATGTGGTTAACTTTGAGCACTTGTACAAACCCATTAAAGTCAATGGGACTTGAGCATATTCTTCACCCCTAACACATGATCAGGTACTTTGTTGAATTTACTTTGGTGCCATTTACTAGAGTCGGGCAAAATCTTTTATTCTAAACTTTTTCAGGGAAAAACACTAAAATGTTTTGAAAATTTGTGTTGGTTTCACGGAGCTGTTTAGAGAAAAAAACAACATATTCAGGAAAATTCAAAACATTTGTTCTGACATTTTCAAAGAAAGTGTTACAATTTTGGGAGGAGGGGTTCAAAATGACTTTCTGCTTCACAATTTCTTTTGTTTATTTTTAAAAATTCAAAAACATTAAAAAGTCTCAAAACTGAACTTAAACATTTAGTTTTCTGTTGAACAGAATAGTTCATGTTACCCAAATCTACATTTTTGATGTTTTAATTCACCGATTTTTTTTTTCACTTTTGGTTCAACCTAAAGCAAATATTTGTTTTGAAGTTTTGGACTTGACAGTAACCCTCCCCCCCAAATCTGTTATTTATCCAGCTTTTCTGATTAAACCCTTTGGATACACCTACACAGATAAACAACACAAGACTGCATGGAGCTTTCATATAAAAGACCAAAATAATCCACGGGAAAAGCTATACCATACAGGAGCTGAATAAGTCCAGTCAACTGACTTGACATGTTTACAAAAGCTCTATTTGAAAAGCATTCTGCCCTGGGCCAGAGAGGACTGAGAGATCCATTGTGGGCAGTTGCTGTGGGAGAATAGGGAAGTGTTATATTCCTGAAAAACTGCCCCTCTGCTTGATCAAGATGAGGCATTGGCAGATGCTGAGAGAAATCCTATCTAGTCTTTTTTGTCCCGGAAGACTGTGGCCATAGTATGTGTTGTGGAGTGAGAAGTCTGTAAAATGGGGAAAATTAAGGTAATCCTTAATAATCTAATAAATAGACGGAGGATATGTGCAGGGAAGGATGAAAGAAGAATTACAGTCTTTTTTTCTAGACTGTATAACGTCTATTGAAAAGAACATTGACGAATCCTTGGTTCTTCTATTTTGTTTTCTCTCTTCATTTTATTTACTTTATCTTGGTAGAATGTACAGACGGACATCAAATATGGTTGGCCTGAGCTACCCACCAGCTGTGATTGGAGTGCTGAAGGTAATGCTGCTGAAAGTGTCATTTAACAGATGGTGGTAAAGTATTATGGTTTGGTGGGGTCCAGTCTTTTAATTCTCCCACTCACAGACATTAATTGGTTACTGACCTGTGGGAAAATTCTTTCTCTTGAGAAAAAAAACAGTTCAAGAATCTGGCCAATTTCAAATGATAAAGAGGCCTGGGAGGATAAGACCATTGATCTGTGGGAAATTACAATACTCATGGAAACAGAACTGAGTGGGAATCAACTTGAGACTTTGATAGTAAATAAAAGATACTACAATCCTTGAGCTTAACTGAGGAGTGACTTGTTCCCAGGTGTGTGTTTTAACATGGAAAGACTGAGTTATTCGGTGAAGATGTGTTATGCTTGAGATTACTGTTCATATCAACAAGGACCATGGAGCTCGTGAACTCACTGGCCGTTTATGTGAACTATTGAGAAAACCCAGGCATGATATAGTAATGGTAATGGATAATGCCTTTTTACTGGTCTCTATTATATTAGGGATGAGAGAGTCAACACAAATCTTTGTCTTTCTTTGTGTTGAGCTGAAGTATGCTTTGAAGAATTTCTGCCAAGCCAGCACTGTAGTTTAGCTAGCAGTTCATCACCTGTCTGTAAATTGGATAACCCACCCTTCACAATGAGACAGAGATACCTCTGACTTTGTCTCCCTTCTTCACTTAGGACTTAAACCTTCCTTTCTTTAGGACAAAAGTGTATAATGGTTTAGGATAAACTGTTCAGAGAAAGAGCCAGAGAGAAAGAGCAAGAGAGCAATTTCAATGAGAGTGCCAGTTAGGCCAAGTGAAAAGATGTCTGAATGTTCATGGTAATAGAACGTGTTAGTCTGTTCTTTCTAAAACAAAAGGAAAAACTATGTAGCACTTTAAAAACTAACAAGATGGTTTCATAGGCGATGAGCTTTCATGGGCCAGTCTGGCCCACAAAAGCTCATCACCTATGAAAACATTTTGTTTGTGTTTAAAGTGCTACATAGTTTTTCCTTTTGTTTTTGCTTGTTCATGGGAAGTGGACACTTACACATGGACCCCATCAACCACCAAGCAGTCTTCACACCAGATTGTAGTAACTTTCTTTACCAGCCTCTGCTGGATTGAAACTGGCAAAATAATGTTCCATATCCCATTACCACGTAGAGATAAGTGGAAAATCTGTGAAACATTCTTCAAGAAAAACTGTTCCCATGTCAACCGGGTGTATTACCTGCTACTCCTGAGCCAGCCAAAGGTTGAGTCATCATGCAACCCTAGTTATGTTACTTCTGAAGCAAAAAAAATGATGCCCAAGAGCAGGCCACAGTCGTTCTGTGTGTATGCTATGTGCTACTTTTTTCTGCCATGGCTAATAAGACCTTTGTGTTCATGAATCCAAAGGGATCCCAGAGCTGTGGACCCAATGTAGCAATCTGAGAACAGAGGCTTTCGATAATAAGAGATGTTGCAGAAGGGGCAAGATATTGGAAACTGGAATATCGTGGAGCACGCAAAGAATGTACCTCCCTTAACCAGGAGACTCTGGTCCAGCAACATCCATGATCCGGCAGGACCACAGATGTTCCTTGACCACAGAGTGCAGGTATAGGGAGGTCTGGCTGTGGGGCAGGAGTGCAGTGGCGGGGCAGGGGGGAGAGGGGTGACTCATCCGGGAGCCCCATGTGTGTGAGGGGTGGGCGGCTCAATTGGAAAATCTGGCCCCAACAGCTGGGAAGTAGCAGGGGGCAGCAGTGGCCATGCAGCTCTTGCCCCAGCTGCCCAGCTCCAGTCCTGGCTGCAGCTAGGGAATTCTGGCTCCAGCTGTGCAGCTCTGACCCCAGTATTGGACAGGTGGCTCCAGACATTGTAGAAACTTTCGCCTTTTTCTTATGACTGTTCTATAATGATAATGGGGCCTGCAGCAGCAACAAAACACAGTAGCCTGCCTCTCACTTACACTCCATAGTGATTATAAAATGTTTCTATCCTGCCAGTAATGGTGAGACAGAGAGCGGCTATTACTCCCTCTCTTCTGCTCAGTGAGAATGATTTGCAGTTCATAAAACAAAATGGACTGAAAAGGAAACAGGCACAGGTGGGAGGGAGGGAGTGTTTTACTTCTTATTATAGACTCACCAAAGTAAGGGCTGAACAGTAGGCTTGGGTTTAAGGCATTGGATTGTGAGACAGAAGGCCTAGATTTGTTTTCCATCTCTACCACAGACTCTCATGTGGCACCCGAACATACTCCACTTGAAGTTAATAGAATAAGTCCCTTTCAAATAGCTGGAGCAGGATCTAGCCCAGAATTATCGTCTGTTTCAACTTCTTCATACATAAAATGAAGAAATGCTATTTCCCTGCATCACAGGAGAGCAGTGAGGCCCTGGCATTTTGAAATCCTGCCTCAATGTAGGGCATTATGGGCCTGGTTTTCTTCTTTGGGTGAAATCCAACCCCCCGGGGAGTCAATGGCAAAACTCCCAAATGACTTCAACGGGGTCGGGATTTCACTCTGCGTGTTCTGAATGATTTTTTTTTCATGAAACACTGAAGCAGTGCGGTTTACCTTCACTTTCGGTTTGTCTACATGAACGGTTAGTTTGCAACAAGCTGGGGTGTGAATGAATCTACCTGCAATAACCTGTCACTATCTATCTGTTGTTGTGCACCCTAATGACCCCCGCATTACCAGTTGATCTAGTCCTCTTTAAAACAGGACTAGATCAAAGTGCATTAGTGGACTGTTAATGTGCACTGGCAGGGTGGATAAGAACAGTTAGACAGTGACAAACTACTGCAGATTCATGGTGTACCTTGCTGGGAACTATGTGTTTTTATAGGCAAGTACTTAGAGCAACGGAACAGCTTTGAGAGGGTCTACACTCATTCAACATTCCTCTTCCCTTCAAACACTGTTTGTCATGCTGATCCCTCATTCCTCTAGCCTCTTTTTTCCTTGTAAATTATATTTGGTGTAAGGACACATTTTGATCCATAATTTTGTAGTTATAAAAAAACCCTTAAAACTAGTGTTTTGATTGCTGGCATTAAAGTGGGAGATTTCAAGTGTTCTCAAAATTCCTGGGATATAGAGACCATCATATGTACGAGGTCAGTCCTAGTTTTTCGTGGGACACAATAACTTTATCACTTAAAATCTTTAGAGCCCTGCGAAAATGAAGATATTCACTTTATATCTGTGGATATCTACATCTACCAGATGTAGATGCAGATATCTGTGGCTCATTTTTGCAGATCTGGATGAGGATGCAGATACAAATTTTGTATCTAGAATCCTGCACATTTGCAGATATCTGCTTTATATCCACAGATATTCTCATCCATGGATGCGAATGTGGATATCTCTGAATCGTTTTCGTGGATACAGATGTGGATGTGGATATGAATTTTGTATCCATTTAGGGCTGTAGAAATCGATGACAAAACTCAAAATGAAGTCATAATCAAGACAATGTTATTTTTATTATGATGATTCTTATTTTAATTTTAAAATTAAATTATTTTAATAATCTAATATTTGTATAAATTATGAATGTATATATGTACTTTATTTATTAGTTTGTTTGTTTGTTTCCCTGACTGGTCTCAGTGACTCATGAAATAAAATAAACACCTACAACCAGTTCTCTTAAAAGGACTGGGTGGATGCTTTGTGCCCTGTTCCTCCATATCCCCTCTCCTGCTTCCCCCAATTTTCATGAATAGCTCAAAGAGTTTGGACTTAGTCTTTTGCAGGGGGAACTTCTACCCTTAATTGCTTCTCCTGCCTACCATAGTGATAACATTTCAAAAACCAAAAGCACAATTTTTGATTTCCCTCCTAAGGCTCAGTCCACAAATCACTTCCTGCAGAGCTTGACCCTGTCTTCAGTGCTTGCAAAATCAGTTGCTGTGCAGAAGTTGATTTACCAAGATATGTAAACTCAATGAGGGCAGATCCGAATCCCCATTGTCCCCTGTTGTGTGTCTGCCTATTTCTGAGACATTCAGCAGACTCTTTGTGTGTTTTTCACTCTGAAGCACAAGCTTGATCCTTTGAGGACTCTATATCCATCACCATTCACTACAGGAGAAGGTCTGCATACAAGAGGTTTTTGGGATCAGGCACAAATTATGATCAGATGCTATCATAGTGTTTTGATCTTATTTAACTGCCCTGCTAGTTGGGTAATGGCTGTATGACACTTAAAGCTTATAAGAATTGTTTGCATCTTTTCCTTCAGGACTGATCTTAAGGGACAGATCCTCATCTGGTGTAAATTATCCTTACTCCATTGGCTGCAAATGCAATTTCCAAAGAGACTTTATAGTCTTGCTAAAAGTGAAGGCATATACCCCACCCTGTCTGTTGTTTAACAACACTCATCATAATGTTATATCTAGCTGATTCCTTTCCCCATCCCTTGGATGTGGTGCCAAAGTCATCTGTACACATGCATAAATAAAATACAATCATCTTCCTTTTTCGGTTAAAGTGCCTTGGGGAATTGGGAGCCAACTTGCAACAGAGACTGTGTGTGAAGGGTAACTTCCAATTTAAAGACGTAAATCTTTCATGCGCAGTTAAAGGACTGTACTTCAGGTATGCAGGAATATGCTTATTCTGGCAGCACCACAAAGTTCTCAGAAATCAGGAAAGCTGGTCCCAGGCCATACATGATGGCTCTGCTGATCTGTTTGTCATTTTCCTGCCTATAACTCATTTTGCTAGGGAGAGGAGGGGAAGGCATGCAACATTTCAAAAACACCTTACCCTTAGACAAGGGGTGCCAACAGACTTGACAGGCCCTGGACAAGGGCGGGGGAGGGTCAGGCTTTTCGCTCCCAGAAGAGGCAGGGCGTCGAGCAGAAGGGGCGGGGCTGGGAAAGCCAGCCCTCAGAGGTGTCCAGAGCACACCAGGCCAGTCTCCTACCCCTTGCACCAGGCAGCCCTCAGAACTGCTCAGAGTGTATCATGCAGTGCCCAGGCATGATTTAAAGGACCTGGGGCTCCAGCTGCCACCTCTTCCATGGTAGTGGCACTTAGAGTGGCCCAGCAGCTCTGGGCCTTTTTTGAATTGACAGGCCCTGGGCAACTGCCTCTTCCTCCCATCAGAGGGCCCCCTCTCATTCAAAATAGGCTCTATCCCACAAGGGGGTGAGAGCCTTCAGTTCCCACTGACATCAATATATGACAATGGTGCTCAGTGCTTTGCAAGGGTGTTCAGAATCTTGCAGAACTGAGTCTTTTAACTTAAGATTAAGGCTTATTTCTACAGGACTCACCAGCTCTTTACCCTCAATTTGCCACATGTTTTATAACTCAGTAGAAGGACCTGGAAAAAAAATTTCCCAACTGAATGTGGATATTTACCCCTCTTACCAGTGTTGGCTGTTAAGACTACTGTGATTTTTCTCCTAGTCGGTAGTTTTCCAGAGAGCCTGAGGGAATGTTTAGTGAAAAAAAGTTGAAGAAAATTAGGTTCATGTTAATTCTTGGATATTCAATAACATGTCTGATGTAGAAGTGGTATTAAAATCTGGTTTCCAGCATTACAGGAGGGTGGGAGTGGGAGGGGAGATTGCCTAATTGTTTCCCCACTATTCCTTACAACTTTATATATTTGTATTCATTTCATGTCTTTAAATTGCTACTGAAATAAACCCCACCCCTTTAAAAGGTTGTGGGCTTCCTGACATTAAAATTATAAGAGCATTATGATGGGCATTGAGCATAATGAAATATACATAATTAAATATACAGGTAACACGTATTGAATGTTTGACTTTTGATACTGTTCTCTAATGTATAAAACTACTGAAAGATAAAGTTAAACTTTTGTGTTCAGGTAGGGGCCCCTAGGCTGCATAGAGCCCCCCAAATAGTATTTGAAATTGGCTTTACTAATAGGACAGTGTTAAATAGCAAACTGGGGAGGGAAGATATGGGAGATGCTGCAGGACTCCATATGACTTAACAGTCTGCATACACCCACTGAATACTCCAGGTGTATTTGGGTATTGTAATTGTACTAATAAATATGTACACTAGTTGGTAAACACTTTGTGCGCTTTGTGTCTTGGTCTGTTGTATTAATTTAGTTGGAATATATGGACCCAAAGAGCCAAAGATGTTAACATGACATAGTCAGTGTCCAACATTAAACAGTTTTCAACAAGGTTTGCATTGTGGTATAGAGAGACCTCTGCTTGTTTAATACCTTGGCAAATTTGCTATTAAAAATCCATTTAACCTCTTATTAAAGGTGCAGAAAAGGAAAAACTGCTAAAACATTTGAAATGTAAAATATTTAATAAGGTTTTCATTTTAACAGCATCTGTGGTTCCCTTTCCTTTTAGCTATAGAATCATTAGAAGGAATAGCCTCCTGTTTGACAGTCTTTTAGATGATATTAAAGGTAATGATAACAGGCATTTTTAGAGACAAGAGACAAAAGGTACGTCTACACTGCACAGCTATTTTGGGGTACCAGAGGTATCCCAAAATAGCTACTCCATGTCTACACAAACTTCCTGTTATTTCAAAATACTTTTCAAAATAACAGGTGCCCTATTTCGCCATCCTGGTAAACTTCATTGCATGAGTGATAAGGGATGGCTCGAAATGGTTCATTATTTCTAAATTTGGTGTCGTGTAGATGTGCCAAATTTCAAAATAAGCTATTTTGAAATAGATTCAAAATAAGATACGCAATTTGCATAATGCAAATTGCGTATCTTATTTTGAGTTTAGGGTGCTGTGTAGACGCACCCAGAGTTGAGAGTCTGGAACAATTGTTAAAGTCCAATCCTGTATCCTAGAAGGCAAAACAAGACAAACATACATAAGAGGGAGGATAAACAAACAGCAAAGGTAGAAAATGCAGCTTCCAAGTTTAAGTTGGAACCTCGTTGCTGGAGAAATACAGATAGGCTGTATGATCTTATTAACTGCTCTGAGACCTAGCAAACTCGTACCAGCATCATAGGCGTGCACAGGGGGTGTTCCGGGTGTGCCAAGGCACACCTTAATATCTCAAAAAAAGTGGCTTTGCGTTTTAATTTCATCGCATGATACGCTCTTTTAGTTTTAAAGTATGGATTGTTGTATTATGCAATAAGCGCCGAATGTAGAAATGTATAGAAAGCCCGCGTTCGCTCGCAGCATGTCCTTTATGATTGAGTAGCCAATAAATGTTCGCCTTTAAAAAAAATAAAAAATAAAATTCCCTGGGTGCACACCCTAATGAAATGTGCTGCGCATGCCTATGACCAGCAGTGAGCTGCTGAGGGCACTACTTGTATCTGCCATGCCAGTCAAAGCTTATGGCAGTGTTGTAAAACATAATCTTGGGCAGCTAAGCCAGACATTTGTTAGATGGAAGGCAAAAGGAGAGAGATGAGAAAAAGACAAAACAAGGTGTAGAAGGAAAAGGATTCAGTGTGTGTGCGTGACTCAGTCAGTCAGTCTCACATTCCACTTGGGATTGAGTTGAGGGAAGTAGTGATATCATCTGGATTCTACTTTGACCTGAATATCTCTCAGAATTAGAACGACATGGGTCAGTAGTATTATGGTAGATCCTAGGGTCACAGGATGGAGCTGGGTGGTAATTTGTTCTCCTGTCTCTGTTGTGTTTGTTTGCAACCAGGTTTTTCTGATAATTTCTCACCAAAGAATGCTAAAAAGAAGTACCAGATGGAATAGCCGTCCCTTCATAAACGTGTTCTCCAGTTAGGCCTAATTTCTGGAACACTCATTTTGGACAATTGATTTTGGAAGCCAGACTGGCAATTTGGGAAGGCCTTGCCTTCCCCTTTCTCTTATACCCACCGCCCATGGTAGATATCATGAATGACCATAATTGAAAAAAATAATTTTTGAATGTACATTCTTTGCTAAACTCATGCCAGATCTACTATGATCATAACCCATTGCAGAGTAAAACAGAACATTAAATGAAATTTGAGTAATCCAGAAGCATGAATCCAGATATGAATTGATTTCATATCCCGCAAAGTGATGCATTTCTGATTGGTATAGTTTTAAAGTGTAAGAAATTGTGCTATAAGTTTAAAAAGAAATGACTGTATTAACAAACTTTTCCCTCACTTTGCAGAATGTAGACAAGTGGTCCTTTGATGTATTTGCACTAAACGATGCTAGTGGGGATCATGCACTGAAATTCATTTTCTATGAACTTCTCACACGCTATGATCTGATTAGCCGTTTCAAGGTTAGTAAATTAGTGTTAAGTCTTTTCTTCACAAATCCACAGACGTTAATTGAAAGAAATAAATTTAAACTTCATTCAATGTCTGTTTCATCCACACTGTAACTTTTACTGTGTTGGAGCAGTAGCCATGGTTAGTATGACTATAATACTTCTCTGTCCACAGAAATGTCTGTTGAAATTCTACATTTAATTGTATTACAATCCTGCAGTAGACTGGGGTCCAAATAGGTCCTTTCAAAGTAAACAAGAAAAATTCTGTAGACTTCATTGGGTTCAGGTACAGGCCCTTGGACTTTTTGTATCACAGTTCTCGAATATGCTTCAGTCACATTTTACACTTCAGGAATGAGTGGTGTTTTCACCATTTCAAGAGATTGCTACATTGTACTTTAGTCCCTCATCAAGATAGAGATTACGGCAGTTGTGGGTAACCTGTGGTCCAAGAGCTGCATGTGGCCCATCGGGTTCTCTGTGTGGCCCACAAGATATTTACCTTGCCAATGCCTACGTGCAGGGTTGCAAGATTCTGTTGGTTTCTGTCCACATAGTTTTTTTCTCACCGATATTGCTAAAGTGACACATGCATAGTGGAAGGGCACATGACGTGAGGTATGTGTTGATTGCACACAATATTGACTGTGTGAGCTGTGCGGTCCCTCTGTATTCAATCAAAACGCTGCTATGGATCAATCGCGACACCTCGCAAATTCTAGGTGTGCAAGCATAGTTAGCCAAACTACCTTCGTCTGGGAGGTTAGTTAGGCCCATTCACTTGTCTACATTGCCCATCTTTGGATTACAGCTTTGATGAGTCTATCACTAAATAACTTTAATTTTAAAGACAGATCCTCTCTATACTCTGCCTGGAATATTGAGAATGTCCAACTCCACACCTGTGTGCTGAGTCACTTGTTGGTGCATTACTGAATTGAACTACTTGCACTGGCTACATCTTCATGTTTAGTGGTAATGAATGATTGATGTAACTTAAAATGAATGCATTATTTTAAAATCCGTGTGGGATGTAGAGGGTTTAAAATGTCAGGCCAAATATAATCCTGGCACTGTGTCATCTTCAGTGTGGATGATGCTACAATCTAAATAGTAAATGTGACCCCTTCTGGTCTTCCCTGAGAGTTAAATATTTGATATTTCTCTTGCGTCCTACCAAGCATGCCACATTCATGATACGTCTATTCTGACTAAAATTTGTATGTTTCAGAAAGACGCTCTATCCATGGTTCGTCTTTTCCCAAGTGCTTGTTGTTTTGTGAGCACTATGATCAAATCCTTGAACTAGAACACAGAAACCCTTTTATCACTTTTCTCAAATACATTTTATTCACAGAACCTATTACTGATGTCTGCTTCATTCAGCCTTTCAGATCTGTTCAAGTCTCATTTCTGCACAGTTGTGTACTATTGACCAGAGCCCTTAACGAGATAGTAACAGAGAGATACTGTACATCTGGGGGGTCCATTTACCCAGCTCTCTCTCCTCATTCAGGCAAATACTTCACCCTTATGTTTCTTGACAGATATTTGCTCATCCCCACAGACAGTGTTCCCTCTAAGCTTCAGGACAGAAGAGCTTCACAGGTGATTAATCAGGCCCGCCCAGTCAGAGGCTCAGGGCTCCATGCATGAAACTGACTGTCTGAGTGGGGCTGATTAATCACCTGTGAAGCTATGCAGCCATGCAGCTTGGAGGGAACACTGCCTGCAGACACTCAAGCTTTACATTAATTCTTTGGCCGTATGCAGAGCATGAATCAAATGCTCTGCATATGTTTCAATGTTTCAAGCCTTCAGTTGTGTTGAGGTCTTGAGGCCGTCTCAATAATGGAAGTAACAGATGCACCACTGGAACTATTTCTAAATTCACACACCCTCATTTTCACTCACACTTTTGCGGTGACCTCCTCCTCTATTCCAGGGCACTATTTATGCTGAATGTTGCCACTGATCTCCATTCTCTGGAGTCTTGCATTTTATAGCTTGGGAAAAGAATTAAACACTCAAGCATAAAGTAAAATTATAGATTGGTGACTTAGTGGTGTCCAGGTCCAGAAGCTGTCAAAGATGAGTTTTATATTCCAACCTTGTTAATCTTCTCAATGAATGCTGGTACTGAACAAAAATGGTGGAAGCCTCACGAGGAAAAACAATTGTTCTTATAAGGCTTTTCACCCTTTTGCCTTGGCCAAATTCTTTCTCTGATTCATACTCCCAGCATTTGTCTTGCTCAGAGGTTTCTCCTCACTACTGTTGTCTTCTGAGAAGGGCCCCAGAAGTCTCCCACCCTTTGTGCTTCGTCTTCAGAGACTGTTCCATATCTGAAGAGGATATGATGGTAATTAGTCAGATTCTGTCTTTCTCCTTGGCACATACAAGACAGAAGAAAGTGATATATAGTTTACTTCTGGCTGGTAGTGCCACTGAAAGTATAGCTACTGCACAAGAACTTCAAAAACTGTAGTTTGAGCATTTGGTACAAACATTGGGGAATAGAAGTTGTCATTGCCTTGAATGTGTGGTGGGACTAGTGACACTCTCCTCCCAGGAAACCGCTAAATTTTGCCCTCGTGTATATGCATAGTACTTCTACTGAAGTAAGTGTTGCAAATCTGTATTGTGTCTGAAGGCAGAATTTGGCAAAGAGTTACTAAACAGAGACTTGGGTAAATAATGCTTCTCTTATGCAGTATTTCAGTCACGTTGTAATATGTTACCATTACAAATATAGGCCATGAATTGTGAAGCAATGATGTATAACAATGGGTCACGAGAGAACAGACAAACACTTTGTGACCTAGATTGAAGCATTTCCACAGGGGCAATCAATCAAGGGCTGTCTGTTATTTTTCATTCAGTTATGTCTTCAAACAGGCACATGGTAGAGTGCTGTCTTGTTTATGTATATGTGTGTGTGATTCAGCCCTAATGTGATTAGGAATGGTAAATGTCTTGATTTACTGTCAGTTCCTACAGGGTCTGCTAAGGCATTTTAGCGTATTATTTATTTATGAAGCATAAACCATATTGTTGGGCACTAACTGAAAGTTACTCATAAGAATGAAAATAATTAAAGATAATTCTGTCCTCAGTGCATTTAACTTCATGTTTCCCTTTTTAGATTCCCATTTCTGCACTTGTCTCCTTTGTGGAAGCCCTGGAAGTTGGATACAGCAAACATAAAAATCCTTATCATAATCTAATGCATGCAGCAGATGTTACACAGACTGTACATTATCTCCTTTTTAAGACAGGAGTAGCGGTAAGTATGTGAATACTAGAACAGTGAGGCTGAAGCATTGTTAGCTCATGAAAGAGATTGTTTAG